AAGCCTAGCGTAATCCAGAGCATTCACAGAAAAGCAGGGAGTTAGGAAACAGGAAAATAGAAGGTTGATAGCATTCTAACGTGGCCATAATTAACAGATCCACCTTCAAATAAAAGAAAAAATCAATTCAGTTAGAGAGGTGTGAGGACGGAACAATTATTTGCGGCTAATTACTTTTTAAAAGATGATGAAAATAGGTGAGTTTTCCCTGATATTGATGAAGGAAAACCTTTGGGGAAATCATTAGCAAAGGTGAGCGAGGATATGAATTATTCTCTGGGATGTTGGAAAGCAACGAAGAGGGAAGAATAAGTAAAATACTAGTACAGTCTAGCAAAGGTCATCAAGACAACGGAGCTGAGACTAAAAATTACCGTTTTCTAAAATCCAAACCTGTCATCAGTATGTCCCACAGTGAATTACTTCCTCGAACAGATGATTTGTTATGAAATGTTCAGTAACTCACCAAATGTCTTTAAATAATTTGATTCAGTGGTACATTCCAAAAGGCAAGATTACATGCAGTTGTTCTACCTATAAATTAAGAATCCTTTTAAAACAATTACCGCAGCACCATTTTAACATGTGATCTTAGGTTTGGCCTTAGACAGGTTGGGGATGTTCAGGGTTACCTGCTCATAGAACAGAGTTTGCCTGGAAAAAAACAAATAACCTTCATGGTATTCATAGGCCATCTCTGAATGTAGGTTAATTATAGATTATAGCCTAGAGCCGTGATCAAAGACCACGCGCCTTTGTAAGAAATGAACAGACTACAACATGGATAGTCCATTCATTCCCATCATCATTAAATGCCTGAAAATAACAGGAGCAGATACGTATCAAAGAAAATTCTTCCTCTGGATATGGTGAGGCAAGGGCTGTTTACCCTACACAAGAATTTTCAGCAACCGCTATGTAAATTCTCTGTCCAAAATACACATACATGTATATAAATGAACCTGTTTATGTGCAAGTGTGTATCTATGAACTCACGTGTAAGGCCACATGCTCCCCCTATAAAAGGAGGTCCCACCAAGAACCATCAACGTTGACTGGTATGTAGACACACTTTGAACAGAAAGTACATGTTTATTTGCTCTGGCCAAAAGCACGGTGAACAGAATAAAGACCATTAGCTAGCTGTTCCGTCATCCAGTCTTTGATACTAAAACTTGAATCAATTACTGAGACAACAGGGTTAATTCCCACTTGGATGGGAATCTATGTACCCTGACTGGCTGAAGTCACAGCTGAAAATCCTAGTTTGAGTAACAGTTAAGTGAGTTGATCCAGCATTTTAGCACTGCCTGCTGTCTGGTCTGCCTCTCCTCTGTTCACTCCCCATTCCTCCAGGTTGACTGACCTGTAGGCCATCCTTCCGCTCAATCCCGACACTCGGCCATATTCTGCTGACGCATTCTTAATTGTACCAATAGCTCCACCTTCAGGGTGCTCCCTCTCCCTGCTCCCCCATATATATCTCTTACACACCTGCACGTGCTTCTCCCTCACTAGTAGGTACCAGAGCTTATTTAGACCTCATTTATCCCACACAACTCGGGAAGTCTTCTCGAATGCAGCCGCCCATGGTGAGCTCACCATCCTCCGAGAGTTCATACTGTCAGACTTGACATTCTCTTACTAGTCATGTGATTATGTGTCTTTAATAATTACGTTAGTTGTAAACTGCTTAAAAGCAGGCCAACGCTTAACCTATCTCTGTGTCCTTAAAAATGATAGCACCCTATCCTCTTTATGGCAGGCACTTAAAACAGTGTTTTGATTCATGAATGGATTGAGTTTAAATGGCCCTAACTGTTTCTTCAGATTTTATGTGGGGATATTAGCCTGTAAGCAGATGACATCCATATAAGCAAACAAAGATGAATTTCTGTTAACCATAACGTATATGCCAGAATTCTACAGCATGATGTCGCTAGACAAGAGAATTAATCTTAGTTAACAGTGTGAAAACAAAAAAGAGAAAACAATTTTCATTATCTTAGTTAAAATTTCTCCTTATTAGAATTATTTTCAGTTTGGAAATTTGATAATCAAGAAGATGGTAACTATGAGTGAATTCTCCTTCTGTTATTCGTATTTAAGAATTTTCATTCATTGCTTTCTAGGAAAGCTGTTAAGAGGAGAAGTTGAAAACAGAAGCAGAATAAAGTCTTTCAGTGAGAGAGAATTGCAATGAGACTACTCTCGCCTTCTTTTTAAAAACACATCTGGAGATGGGAAGAAAAAAACGGAAGAGACAGGAGAAGGGGGTGTCAGACTCAAACATTCCTGAGCATGGATACAGAGTATAATGAAACAGCTAACTGCAATCGCAGAGTCTCAGCAAACATTTTTGGAAACATCCACTAGCCCCTCCTCTCCTTGAATATGTGACTGTTCTGCCTGAGCACTGCTTCATGGAAGGACATTATAAATCAACAAAGAGAAAAAGGCCTCTTTTACCATCCTAACAGCGTCAAGGCATCAGTGGGATTAAATTGTCATCGTCGGCACAGATTCCCAAAACTGGCACTCCATAAGAAAACGCATCATGTCTATTTGTGAATGTGTATTGTAAACTCTCCCAACATCTTCTGTGAAAATGCCATATAACTAGCTAAGAGCATTGAATTTTCAGACCTTTGGAAGTGTTGAGAAGACCTTGGGCAGCCTCTCTCCGGAACAAAGGAATGATCACTCTGATTATCCTTCCAACAGAATATTTTAAGATTATGCATGCATTGTTGCATGTGTGTTTAAACTCAACTCAATTATTTATATGGACATCTCAAGGGCTCTTAAAAATACAATAAAACTTGAACTAAAATTCCACAAGCATTCAGATAAAAGAAAATTACCTATCCTCTTTGGAGAGTGTTTTTAGAGAGTTTGAAAAAGAACATTGATGGATTCCTCCAGACGAAGGCTTAAGAAGTAATAGTATCTGAGCTGGGTAGAAAAAAAGACAAGAAGATGCTGAAGTGTTCCCAATGTATTCTGCGGATGCTTTAAGTTCTACCCTGTAGTAATTGGAATGGGATTTCATTACAAGAAGTTTTTACTCACTCATACCAACTGCATCCTTGTAAGAGTGATGGAGACTAAGTGTACCTGTTATGACCATTACCATCACCGTCTCCAGGGAAACAGCCCCAGAAAGTTATCAAAGCAGTAAAAGTAGGGGAGGAAAGAATACAGCGCTGCTGGCAAACTCAACACTCCAAAATACTTGAAGCTTTAAAATAAATAAATAACAAACTCCTACAATTCCACTTAAATAATCATGAGGGGGAATAAAAGCCTTATTTCCTTTTCTATTTCAAAGATTTTAACACACACACACATACACACAAAACCCAGCCAATTTCCCTTGAAAAACATTATTCATATTCCTTATTTCTCCAAATAATATAGAGCCCCAATAAGATTGTCAAGCACAGTGCATTTTAAGGTGTAGGTAAAGTCAAAATTTGCCACAAACACGAGTAATTCATCCATCATAAATCCCATCCCCGATCCCCACGTGAGATATACATTTCCTTCTTGTCCAGGGCTGTCTGAAATTCAGGGGCTCTCATTGCAATGTGGTAAGTAATTTTAAGGGCAAAGGGGTAAAGGGTGGTTTTAGCTGGTAGATTTTTTCTAGTCTCTTTGTCCTCAGTCTGACTTAATCTGAGACAGTCTCCTACTTTATAGTCCCTGTTTAATAAGGAAAGAGAGAGCTCTCTAAATCTATACCACTCAGGTCCAGAGTATGTGTGGGGAAGCACAGCCGATTCTAGCCTACATCCTCCAGATCCAGCATTTCCCAATGTCCACCATGTTGCTCTCAGGGTTTCATGGAATTAGCCAAGCCTAAGCAATTCCAGATCTAGTTGCCGTTGACCAATTGCACCTGGTTTGTACTTCCCAGCTTAACTTTCTAAATTAGATAATAACAAAAAAAAAAAAAAAAAAAGCTTAAACGCTAGCAGAGCCACAAGATGATGGAGAGGAACAAAATAGGGGTTATGTTTTAAAAACTCTAAGTTACAGGTGGTTCTGAGTACTGATTACATAACCTGCACAAGTTGAGATCCGATTCAATAGACTCCCATTCTCTGCCCAGCCCCCACCCAACCCAGGCAAATGGAAGCTCTGATCTTCCGTGAGGGATGGGAAAGGTGAAGACCCTCTTGCCTCTGAGATGATAAAGAGGAACCCTGTCTAGGGGAGAGGGAGAGAGAGGGCAAGGACAGGTCTCTGCATCTCTGAACTCCCTGAGCCCAGAGCTCATTCCTTCTCCATGGTCTAGAGTATTCTTCCTCTTTAAATATCTACACTCTCAGATGCTACCCTGAGCCCATTCTCTTCTCACTCCCCTAACTATCCTCAGAACAAGTCCAGGGAAGATTCAGGTTTTGGGAGGGCAGACACTTACACAACTAAGAAAAAGGATACAAAATTGAAAATACAAAACTAGGTATGAAAGTGAATGGTTCTTACAAATGAATAAACAAACACGGAAATAAAAAGCAGATATAAACCCATAAATACAGAGAACAATCTGGTGGGACAGGGCTAGGGGATGAGTGAAGGGGGTGGGAGATAAGGCTTCCAGTTATGAGATGAATAAGTCACGGAGATGAAGGGCAGAGCATCGGGAATATAGTCAATGGCACTGTGGTGACAGATGGGAGCTACACTTGTGGTGAGCACGGCATCAGGTATAGAGTTGTGGAATCACTATGTCATTCACTTGCACTAATATAACATGGTGTGTCAACTACACTTCAATAAAAAATTTTTGGAAAAGAAAGTGAATGTTTATTAAGAACATGAAAAAACCTAGAGCATATTAACAGGTAGACCACAGCGGTCCCCGGCGCGCCTCGTCAGGTCCCCTCCACCATCACAGCATGTAGATCTGCTGCAGTCCCTGCTAACTGGGACTCTGGTCCTCCTCCCACTTCTGCCAATTCCCATTTTCATGTAACTGTCCTTTGGAAAATTACCTCTTTCACAAATAAGGTGCCTGGTCAGTTGAGATATTTCACTGATGCTTATGAGTCTTTCGTGCAATATTTCATTAAGCTTTTGCATATTCTGGTTCATACCTAGAAGAGGAAATGAAACCAGTTACATCTGGTATAACAACTGAAAAAAATTATAAAAAGTAAAAACGCTTTAGACAAATCTTCAGTTTCTTTTTTTTCCCCCAAGGGTTTTGATTTGGTTCCTTTTACGTATATATCTTAACGATAACCCTATGTAAAAACAAATTTTATTTTAATGGCCCCACCACTACTCTTTAAAATGCACATAGATTTGCAAGATAGACAAAATAGAGACTACAAATTACTGTCGGTAGTTAAAATTCAATTGCATTGATGAAATTATGGAAAAGGGTTCATTTTCTGGTGCTGTCTTTGGGCTTTTTGAAATCCTGGTTGCTGGCTTACTCACTAATTTGGTAATTTGCAATAGGTTTCCCAGTCATTAGTGCAAATTAGCGAGGTTTAGCTATAATGTGAATATTAATATCTTCATTTAGAACCATTCCACGTGCCTTCGCTGGGCTTCTAAGGACAAGTTGTTTTTTTTTTTAAACCTTGGAGAAAGGCGATATGAAATACATGAATATGATGTTTATGAAAAGGCATTTGATAACCAATGCATTATTTTTCACCTTCTATGAATAAAATGTCAGTGACTTTGGTAATATTGTATTTTAAAAGCCCCAAGGACTGGCAGACAGCCCCATGCACACACTGTGCTATATTAAAGGAATATTGGTCCTCGGCTAGAAAGGATTTTCTAGCCCACTCTGAGCAATAACCACTTGATCACACATCTCGCCTGTGTCTGAGCTCCCGACAGCAGAATATGTGCCTCTCATTTGCTGGCCCCAAGCCCTCCACTCAGCATCCTGCACAGTCACTGGGGCCGTGTGCCTTCAGCTCCGTGACCTCGGGGGCACGCTGGAGAAATGTTGCCTTCTGTCCATGACCCTTTTAAGACCCTTTAATGTCTCCCCCAAGTTGTCACCATGGCACTCACTTGCTTTCATGATTCTCCCTGACAACCACTGCTCCTGATGCTGGCTTTCACCGTGGGGCTCTAATTCAAGTGCAGGCTGGAGCCCACCATTGTCAGTGTCTTTTTTCCCAATACAAGCCCCACTGGGACTTCGCCTGGGAACACGCCCAACCCAGCAACTTACTAGCTAAGGATGACCCTCTCAGCCCTGGTATCTGGTCTGCTGCCTTGCCCGACTCAGGCCACAGAGAACTCCAAAGCTTCCTTCCCCTCTCTTTCCTACCCATGGCATTATTTAAATTTAACACTTGTCATCAATCAGCTGGGAGGCAAGAATGATCACATGAAATGGTGTCCTCGTGAAAAAGAAAGACACATTTATCAGTTGAGACCTCAAAACAAGACAGCAAGATGGATGGTGGGATGAGAAATCAGTGTTCCTTATTTTTCCGAACTATACCACCTCTCACTTATGGTTGTAACACCCCCAAAAGAATCCTGGGCGTTGGATTTGAATCTGTGAGCCTCTGACACATCTTGGAGTCTCAGTTCCCTTATTTGTGAAATAAGGGTAATAAGATTACCTCACAAGGCTATAGCAAGGACTAAAACAAAATATGTGCAAATACCTAGCACAGAGCCTGGCACAGAGTCGAGCTCAAACAGATAACGACATTAGTGCCCCAATTGAAATCACTCTTAAAGTGGCACGTGTCTGAACATCCAGGCCCCTGCTGGGGCCCTGGGGTTGATTACCACTGAATGGTCAGTGACACGGGCTGGGCTCCAAATCCAAAAGGGATTCTGACCAGAAGGAGCATGGTCGACGAAGGGCCAGAGGGACAAGCCAACTCTGGGTTCTTTCAGAAAAGACGAGACTCAAAAAACAGGAGGATCATCCGGGCGCCTGGGTGGCTCAGTTGGTTGAGCGACTGCCTTCGGCTCAGGTCATGATCCTGGAGTCCCTGGATCGAGTCCCACATGGGGCTCCCTGCTCGGCGGGGAGTCTGCTTCTCCCTCTGACCTCCCCCCTCTCATGTGCTCTCTCTTTCTCATTCTCTCTGTCTCAAATAAATAAATAAAATCTTTAAAAAAAAAAAAAAAAAACAGGAGGATCATCCGATACTGAGTCCAAAGGAAATTTTAGGGCCAAGCTTTCTGAGTCGAGACGGAGATGGGGTTAGGACACGAGCAGGTGGGGAGCAGGGAGCAGCCATCCTGAACCTCAGATGCAGGTGGCTATTTCCAGCTCACCCCTCCGAGCCAGAGGTGCTTGGGAACGTGAAGTGGGCAAAAAGGGTCTGAAACAGAACACAGAGCGTAGGATGTAAGAGAGCAGAATGGCTTTAACCCATTGGAGCTATTTTTTAAATGCTGCATAAATACTCTTCTAATACTACCACCTTGGAAAAACACCTGGGTTCAAAGCCTGTCTACCTGAAAGACCACATTTTCTGAACAGCAGTTCTATTTCCTGAAAATCAGGCACCTGTTACCCGAAGTGACAGTGTCTGGCGTGCGGAAGAAGCCATCAGATCCAACAGCTGTGTCGGCTTGAACTATGCAGCAAAATGACCCTGCAAGGGCAGTGGAACTCTGTAGGGTGCCCTCTGAATCGTCTTGGTGACCCTCTCCAACTGCAGTCAGTCTGTCCGCAGTCTTTAGTGGGCACTTGTCCTCAGAGCGGTGGGCAGTCCTGGGAACCAATGTGTGTCTCTTTCCAAGAGGGAACAAGCTGTTATCTCCTGGAGGCTAATGTGCATGGGCGCCCCCTCACAGAGTTAAAGACCCTCCTCCCCACCCAATCTCTTTTGAGTACATTTCACCACTTCCCTACAGCCACCATCCCGGTGCATCTGCAAATTCTTAATACTTCAGCATAACACGACGTCTTTTTAGACTCCTCATGCCTGTTCTTGGAATTCATTGAACCCTTTCACCTCGAGTTAACGCACACTTTCTCCTGGTCAATGTGTACCCACTTCAAAACTTCATTTCCAGTGTAAGTGTTTAACAGCTTAGTCTGGGGATGAAAAAAAGAGAGAGAGAGAGAAAAGCGAAAGTGTGAGCCTTATGAAAAGGGAAAATCAGAACAGATTGCAATGAAGCTAAACTGTCTATTCATTTGAATCAAATGCTATAAATTTCTAAGCATAATGTTTGACAGTAAACTGTCATCAAAGCAACAGACTCATTATAAAAATGCTAAGGGTATATAAATCTCATTGACTGCTTATCATTAACTGTGCGGGGTGCTGATAGGAAATGCCTGGTTATAATTTATATTTCACTAATAAGGTCCATTTTAGAGTAGAGCTGTCAACTCTATTACTCACCTTCCCCCAGTTTTATAGTTGTTCTGGACAGCACTGAAATTGAAGGTTAAAAGTATGGTTTTAAGCATTATCTTTTGCTCTAATATCTCAGCCCTGAATATTGAAGCTTGCCTCACCTCTAATCAGAACTCAACAGCTAGATTGTTTTTCGGAAAGTAAACCAGAGAGAGAGAGACAGAGACAGAAACATTCTCCAGAAAAGGAAAGATGCAAGAGAGGATTATTTGCCCACTTTCAAAATTTAATAGGTAAAAAGCAATTAAAATATTGGCAGTCCAATTATTCTATTACTCTAACATGTTATCGGCATTAATGATGTCCCCCCCCCCGGTTTGTTTTTTTGGGGTTTTTTGGGGTTTTTTTTTTTTTGGCCTGTGATGAAGAAACTTGCCAGTAAGTTACTACGATATGGTAGGTGCCAGATTAGACACTTCTACTAAGGTTGTCACATTTCTCTTTAGGCTGATATTCAAGGGGCTCAAAGCATTTATCCAAGTATTAGGACATGTCCTCATGACCTCACCGATCAGGAAAAAGTTGTTGGTCCCTATAGATGCTATTTAAGACAGGGAACATGACCAAGGAAAATATTAATACAAATACCCAAAGTGACATGTGGCTTAACCTCCAGCACAGTTTAGAACCCCTATTCTTGATATGCTAAACACTAAAAAAACCTCAGTAAACTTTCAGAGAAGATGTTTTCATATTTTGGGCATATGATAAATGTGTTGAACAAGGATACAAACTGAAGGCCCCAGTGAGAGCTAAGTTTCATAAAACATTAATCCAATGAAGAGCAGGTTCTTAGTAATCAAATCGCAGACCTCCTTGGTCAGAACAAGCTCTGAACTGAGGAATCCTAGCGTGAAAGATCAAAGAGAAAGCCCACGGGGGTGATGAGTTGTTGTCCCCAGCCAGTTGGTTTTGACTGTGAAAAGCTTCTTCCTTTGCGGACATACCCTCTGTGTATTTTATTTATTTATTTTTCTAAAGATTTTATTTATTTGTCAGAGAGAGAGAGGAACGCACACAAGCAGGGGGAGCACAGGCAGAGGGGGAAGCAGGCTTCCCGCCGAGCAGGGAGCCTGATGCGGGACTCGATCCCAGGAGCCTGGGATCGTGACCTGAGCCGAAGGCAGATGCTTATCGACTGAGCCCCCCAGGCGTCCCTCCTCCGTGTATTTTAAAGCAGCATTACTTACAAGCTATCCCAGACGCAGGACTGTGTGTGAGAGAGTGAACTAGCAAAGCTCCAGCATCACACACAGCAGCACCTTCTCAGAGTCTGCCCCCCGGACTCCTTCTCACGTCTCTAGTAACTAATGCCAGTGTTTGGAGGACAAGCTAGAACCGTGTTATACTGAATTCTGCTACAATGGGCCTGGGTTCCCAGCCCCCCAACTAGATCATTCAGTTCCAAAACCACTATGCTAGATTATGGATAAACTAGTTGTTAGAGTCATCAATGCATAGTGTCTGTACCCTACCTCTACTTCCTTCTGAAATTTGCTCTAACTCTCCAGAAGCTTCCCCTTTGATGACAGCTCTTTAACCAGAAACCTAAGGATGTCTACCAGATGCCCATCTATTATTTTCTCTAATCGTTTGACGGTTCTTCCTCTCCGTTCCGTGCAACCACCCAGCACTCAGCTTGTCACTGCCTCGTCTGCTGTAAATCATCATCTACCCCGTCCCCCTTCGTCTTCTCTTAAGCTTTTCAGTGAGATGAAAATCACTCCGGGGCACTGAGTCAAGCTGAATGAGATCCTGCCTCAAACTTCACTAGATCTGTAATCTGGGAAGAAGGCACTTAACCTCTCTGAGCCGATTTCCGCATTAGGAAAGTGAACATGGAAACCTGACGCAGGACGCCCCTTCTCAGATACACTGAGCAGTCGACAAGCGCTAACGCAGGTGGTCCCGGCTCTTTCGCACTCACGTCTGACATAGGGTCAAGGGCACACCAGCTTTCACAGGCACGAGGGAAAGCGCGGCTACACTGCGGAGATAGATGCGTCATGGCTGCTCCCCCTGCCCTTTGTCACAACCTCTGTCTTGATTTAAAAACAAAAGAGAAAGCCAAAAACAAAGACAAACAAAAAGGCTCTTGTACAATATAAAAGCTAAGTTCTTTTGCCTGTGCCCAAGACCCTTTGTGATCAGCCTGACCCTGACTACCTGTGTCCCACCCAGCCCACAGCCTCCTCCTGACATCTCCATCCTGACGAACACCACGCCAGAACCCCCTGCAATACTGAGCAGTCACCCTCTCTCTCGCTGCAGACTATAGCACATTGTTCCCTTCCTCCAGTGCTTCTATTTTGTTATTTGTTTAAACTTCTAATCATCTGGCGCACCTGGGTGGCTCAGTTAGTTAAGCGTCTGCCTTCGGCTCAGGTCATGATCCTGGAGTCCTGGGATCGAGCCCCGCATCGGGCTCCCTGCTCAGCAGGGAGTCTGATTCTCCCTCTGATCCTCCCCACCTCATGCTCTCTCTTTCATTCTCTCTCAAATAAATAAAATCTTTAAAAATAATAATAATAAAAATAAACTTCTAATCATCTGTCAAGTCTCAATTCAAATTCTATTCCATCGAGGAAACTCCCCTGACCCCTCTGGGCAAAGTGTGGTTCTCCTAGACCCATGTTCTCTCCACAGTTTAAACAGCCAGTTATGGCAGTTGTCATCGGTAAGTGTGTATCTACAAGTCTGTGTAGCTGCTCAATAAATGCTAGAAGAATAAGCGAATGTGGGGCACCTGGGTGGCGCAGTCAGTTAGGCGTCGTCTAACTCTTGGTTTCGGCTCAGGTTGTGATCTTGGAGTCATGAGATCAAGCCCTGCATTGGGCTCTGCACTCAGCGCAGAGTCTATTAGTGACTCTCTCACCCTCTCCCTCTGCCCCTCCCCCACCCCATCCTCGCTTGCTCTGTCTCTCTCTCAGATAAATAAATAAATCTTAAAAAAAAAAAAGAATAAATGAATGTTACCATTCTCTTCTACAAAACCTCTCCAAAAACTCCATAAAGAATCAACTCTTGTTCAATTTTGTGGCCACATATATATGGCTCTGGTCTCATACTTTCTTCTGGCACTCTGTCTACAGTGAGGGCTGCATAACAATTTGCACAAATCAACCTACACCAAATGCAACTTCACCTAGAAACATATCGAAATTGACCATAGGCATGAGGTCCACCCAAACTTTATGGAGTTACAGAGGACCAAACTCTGCAACCTTCTAATACACATTCATTGGAGTAACTAACTCCTCCAGGAGGGAATAGAGGTAAAAAGATGAAAACAGTGGGGCACCTGGGTGGCTCAGTCGTTAAGCGTCTGCCTTGGGCTCAGGTCATGGTCCCAGGGTCCTGGGATCGAGCCCCACATCGAGCCCCACATCGGGCTCCCTGCTCAGCGGGAAGCCGGCTTCTCCCTCTCCCACTCCCCCTGCTTGCGTTCCCTCTCTCTCGTTCTCTCTCTCTGTCAAATAAATAAATAAAATCTTTAAAAAAAAAAAAAAGATGAAAACAGCAATTCAGAGGCACTCCGAATCACTGAACTTTACACAGGGCAAAACTCTGCTGTTTAATATCTGGCCACATTCCTAATTTTAGCCAGATATTTCACTAAGGTGAGAAAGCACATACCATAAATCCATCTCCATGGTGGGGGGAAAAAAAAAACCTCAAAGCATATATATCATGGATGAGTGATGGCATGATTTTGTTAATAGAAGCAAATACATATAGGGGTGTCTGAGTGGCTCAGTCAGCTGAGTGTCTGACTTTTGGTTTTGGCTCAGGTCATGATCTCAGGAGCATGAGACTGAGCCCCACATGGGGTTCCACACTCAGCAGAGAGTCTGCTTGAAGATTCTCTCCCTCTGACCCTCCCCTGCAACTTGCATGAATTCTCTCTCAAATAAATAAATCTTTTTGTAAAAGGTAAATACATATATAAACTATACAACTAAATGCTTGTAGATGGTCTAATCTAGCCAACAGTACAGTCGGAATTAATAAGCAGTGTTAATGTGACAAACAGTGCAAGTAGAATAAACAATCTTCCTCCTAATTTAAGTTCACCTCTACATTATCATAAACTAGTAAGAGTACACAGCTCAACCACAAATGCCAAGATAACAATAGCCCCACAAAGTACTCCTGAATCTCCAGACATACTAAGCAAAGAACAGCAATTTTTATTTTTTGCTGATAAATGGTTTAATCAAACCTAACAGATGAGGCAATACATTTTGAGAACACTTTGTTGTTCAGATCATGGGGTCAGTAATTTTCTTTGTTGCAAACACATCACAGTGGAACTGAGTGTGTGTTGGGGGATGAGGTGGTGAGGAGGAATGACATAAATTTTCTGCAACAGGTAGTATATTATGTTCTATCTAGAAAATATTTTATATTTCAAACATGCTACAAGAGGAGAGAGACATAGGAATTGATAGTTTTCCTGTGATTTTGCAGAAAGGGAATAAAATAGCAATGCAAAATCACACCTCTCAAAAAAAAAATCAAAGCATTAAAGCAATAAAGGAGTAGGTATTAAATTTCAATATAGCATTCCTAATTCAACTTATCCTATATGCAGTCTGG